AAGTTGAAAGTTCGTGATGTTGAGAAAATCTGAATTAAGAGGGAGTGTTGAAATGTAATTCAGAATCATATAAATAGACCCATTTGTAATAAAGTGATATACACATGCAAACGTAATTTTCTCTCTGCACGTTCATGTAATATCCTCTCTCTTCACGTTTACGTACTTTCTCTCTTTCTTGTTTCACGTTCCAACAAGCTCCACCCTGTGTAACTCGCTATTAATAGTACTAACTACGTGCAAACTAGTCTTTAGGCTACACTATTCATTTGAAAATATTTTTCAACATAAAATTTGGACAACAAAAAGATTTTAATTAAATTTTGAAATGTAAACTTTATATGCTTATATATGGAAAAGTCAAATATGATTAATTTTCTCGTAAATAATTTTTTTTTTGAATGTGTCACCTATGTATTAGCTAGAACTAGCACCATAAATTCAAAGCAGTCGAAAATTACTTAATAATTTCTCACTTTCAAGTAGGGATGGCAACGGGGCGGGTCGAGTACGGGTTTCATGATACCCGTTCTCGTCCCCGCAAGTTAAACCCATCCCCGTCCCCGTCCCCATACCTGTCGGGTATAGATTTTCACCCCCATCCTCGTCCCCGTCGGGTATCGGGTATACCCGTACCCGTACCCGTTAATTTTTTTATTTTTTATTTTTTGTAAAAAAAAATAATATTTTAACATTTTTTTTATATTATATTATAATTATAATTATGTTATTTCTTTATCTCATATTATAATAAATAATTACACATAAAAAATATTAAATTTTTTTAATATAATTAAATTGAAAGTGAGTATTAAATTAAAAATGAGAACGGTGACGGGTACGGGTACGCGTACGGGGTAGGTAAGTACATACCCGTACCCGTACCCGATTTAATATATCGAGTTTTACCCGTACCCGTACCCAGTCAAACCGGGTATTCCCCGTCAAAGTCGGGACAGGTTCAGGTATTACCCGCAGGTACGAATATATTTGCCATTCCTACTTTCAAGAGTCGTCTCATTGACATTTCCCATCTCACTGTATTATCTGAATTCATTTACTTTTTTCTGTATGCAAAGAAACACCCGCGTATGATGAAGTTCGGCCTGGGTAATTTTCCTTTTTGCATCCTTTTTGGGCCAATCCTCTCTTACTCTTATTTTTTTTAGTTTGATTTGATTGTTAGGTTTTCTGTAAATGCATTTTCTTTTATAAATGATAACAAGGAAAATAAGTTTGCAGCATACAAAAAAAATATAAACAAAATAATAACATTTGCATGATTAGTTTCATCTTATGAAATTGATTTTTGATTCGAAATTAATTTTAAATTGAAAAAACTTTAGAAAGATTTTACATTACATTAAAAAGAATTATGACAAGGAAAAAGGCGCTATGTCACTCTGTAGAAAAACCGAGGAAATAATCATTATTTATTTATTTATTTTTTACAGTTTTGCTGTTTTTATATTTATGTCAGTTTTATAGAAGTTTTATTAGCAATTATTAAGGGTAAAATAGGTAAAAGAAATGTGTATGCAAAATGAATTAATTTTCTTTATTATTAGTATAGATTTTGTTATTAATTTATTTTTAAATTATAATTATTTAAACTCAAATTACTTCATTTTAAAGTAATTTCAATCAACATTAATTTTATTTAAAATCAAGTTTTCAAAAAGTAACCCAATCACACATTACCTAAGAAAAAAGCCCAATAACACATGAAATTTTCTACTACAAAGTTAAGTGAAGTTTCCCAAATAAATAAAATAAAATAAAATTAATTCTTTTTTTAATTCTTTTAATAAATAATTAATTTTAGATTATGTTCTTTTAAGTAAAATTTTTCTACATACATTCCTCTATATAAATGTTTAAATTTATGATATTCATTAATTACACTAGTGGAAAAAAGACTTTTAAAATCGGTTATTTTTAACTTTTAAAATCGGTTCCGTAACCAATTTTAAAAGAGCCGATTTTAAAAGTTATACTTTTAAAATCGGTTAAACAACCGATTTTAAAAGTTAACTTTTAAGATCGGTTGTTTTATAACCGATCTTAAAAGTCTGGACGGTGAAAAAAATTAAACTGGAACGGGCCGTTCCAGGCTAGTTAACTTTCAGAACGGGCCGTTCTCCATGGAGTACGAGCCGTTCTCCTTGTAGAATGGCCCGTTCTCCATGGAGAACGGCCCGTTCTCCTTGCAGAACGGCCCGTTCCAGGTTCGAAATTTCCCAAACTGAACCTACAACGAAAATAAAGATGAGAAAAGCATGAGAAAACGAAAAGAGACACAAGAAGAACATGAGAAGACGAAAATGAAAACGACAACGAAATTTATCTTATTGGAAACTTTAGAAAATGAGAGTGTTAGAGAGTAAAAAAGGAATAGAGGGAAATATTAAAGAGAATGAGAATGGAGGGGAATATAAAAGATTTCTGACGATACTTTTAAAATTAGTCGTAAAATAACCGATCTTAAAAGTACTTTTAAGATCGGTTAAATTTTAACTGATCTTAAAAGTGTTATGTTATTTACAAAATTGCCACCGCGTCACTTTTAAGATCGGTTACTTTGTCGATCTTAAAACTTCGATTTTAAATCCAATTTTTGCACTAGTACTAGTAGATTTGTGAAAACCTATTTTTAATATATGTTTAAAATTTTAATATTTCAATTTTAAATTTTATTGAAAAATAATTATTTGTTAAATTTTAATAATTTTAAAATTTTAAAATATATAATATTTAATAATTCAAAAGTAATTTTAAATATTTAATAATTAAAAACACAAATATTGATAAGTTATACAACAATATTGATAGATAAAAATGTAATAAAAATATTTATAGATAAAAAAAAAATAGGAGAAAAATAGAGAGAAGAAGAAAAAAATGAGAGAGATGAACAAAAAAGAAGAGAATATGAGATAGAGAAAATATGAAGAGAGATAGAGAAAAGAATCTATTAGGGAAGAGAGAGAGGAGAAAGAGGAGAAAGAGAGAGAAAAGAAAAGATCAGAGAGAGAAGCAACATAAGTAAGGAAGAGAAAAAAAAATTATTTGAAATCTCAATAATTTTGGTAAGATTCTTGGATGAGTAAATTATACATAAATTTTACTAAAAAGTCTCACAAAATTTGAATCCACTATATTTTAATGTATTCCTAAAAAATTGTAATTACTTAATTGAATACTACCTGTAATACTTAACTCGGACATACTAAGCCGAGCTAGGCCATTTAGCTCGATCATATCGAGTTGAGCTCAAGCAAAACACTCACCACAAACATGTGACGAGTTTAGGGCTAAACAGTCTAATAACAACATTAATACCATATTGATGACAAAATTAGTACACTTCCAAGAATCTCGAAATACAAAAATCGAGGAAAGAGTATCTCCATACAATAAATAAATCACATACACAATCACAAGGATACCTCATAACTATCACACAAGATCATCTCCTTAAATTACACGATTAACGTACATATAAAGGAACATTAGATATGATTCTAACTTAACCTAATTCTTAACTTAAACTCCTCTCTAACTTAGGCATTAGAATATCTTTGTAAGTGTCCTCTCCCACCGTGAACATTGGGCTAACAAGGATGTCTTCTAGCTATTGAAGCACTTGTAAGATTTTGGTAAGAACACTACATGACTTTTTATATTAAAAAAATGATTAAGTACCACAAAACTTTTTTATAATAAGAAAAACATTTTAAAATTCTTTAAAATTTCAATCCAATACACTCTTTAAGAGAATTTCACTTTATTTCTTTAAATGGATTTGTACATGTCACTTCAATCTTAAGCAACTAATTAATCTAATTTTCACTCCGATATAAATTCTTAGTCAAAAACTATTTAACTCACAAATATATTTTCTCTTTTCAATAGTTCATATTTTCTCTCTTACATATACATATATTTGTAATCTCACTAGAAATTCTTAAAAAAGTTGGTGGTTGATCTTAATATATACATATACATGCATACATACATACATACATACATATATATATATATACATA